GAGTGGTGTGTGATCTGGGTTCCCTGCTCTGGGAGTGAGTGGTGTGTGATCTGGGTTCCCTGCTCTGGGAGTGGTGTGTGATCTGGGTTTCCTGCTCTGGGAGTGGTGTATGTCTGGGTTCCCTGCTCTGGGAATGGTGTGTGATCTGGGTTCCCTGGCCAGCCAGTCTAGCCAGGTTCAGCTCCAGGTTCAGTGAGAGACTCTGTATCAACACAACAAGGTAGAGATTGGCAGAGAAAGAAACCAATGCCTCTGCCCTCCACACAGAAAGCATATGTATGTACCTGCACACATGCATACACAAGATTCTCAGTATAAATATGAGGCAATTGCAAATTAAAAATTAAAATAGCAAATTAAAATAGTAATGTGCTAGCATTCTCCACTCCTAAGACTGGTGAAAATTGCTGGGCATGGTGGCACCTAACTTTAATCTCAGAACTCAGGAGGCAGTATGTCCCAGGACAGACAGGACTACCCAGAGAGACCCTGACTTAAAAAGCCAATATATATAAAAAATAAATATATAAAAGGTGAAAACTGGGGCAGGAGGGACGGCCCTTGCTTCTTGGAGAGGACTGGAGTTTGGTTCCCAGTGTCTACATCAGGCCACTCATGAGTGCCTGGGACTTCAGCCCCAGAGGATCAGATGCCCTCTTCTGGCCTCTGTGGGCACCTGCACCCATGTGCACATTTCCCCACACCCACATACACATGTGATTAAAAAGAAAATCTTCCAGACAGGGTTTCTCTATGTAGCCCTGGCTGTGCTGGAACTCACTCTGTAGACCAGGCTGGCCTTGAACTCATAGATCCTCCTGCCTTTGCCTCTTGAGTGCTGGGATTAAAGGTGTGCACCACTATCCCCGGACTTAAACTTCCCATTTCTGTCTTTGTTTGTGACGGTTGTGACAGATGTTTAATGTAATTGCTGTTTAGGTTGGTTATTTACTTGTTTATTTGAGCTACATTTGAACCTCATGTAGCTCGCACTCGTCTTGAATTTGCTACACATAGCTACTTGTGGCATTGTATGTCTTTAATCCCAGCACTCAAGAGGCAGAGACAATCAGATCTCTGTGTTTGGGGGTAGCCTGGTCTACACAGTGAGTTCCAGGCCAACCAGGGCTACACAGTGAAACTCTGTCTAAAATAAGAACAAAATAAAAAACAAAAAAACCAAACACCCAACCGTCAAGATGAGGATGGCATCTGGTATTACTTTTTTTGTTTGTTTGGTTTGTTTTGTTTTGGTTTGGTTTTTCGAGACTGGGTTTCCCTGTGTAAACTTTGAGCCTTTTCTGGAACTCACTCTATAGACCAGGCTGGCCTCGAACTCAGAGATCCACCTGCCTCTGCCTCCAGAGTGCTGGGATTAAATGTGTGCGCCACCACCGCCCGGCCAAGGGATTACCTCTTTGTGATTTTAACACATGTGAATGGGTGTTTTGCCTATAAATGTCTGGGTACCGATAATGTGCCTGGCCCACGGAAGCCAGACGCAGGAACTGGAGTTACAGATGGTTGTGAGCCATGGATGCTGGAAATGGAACCCGAGTTCTCTGCAAGAGCAGTGTTCTTAACCACAGAGCCACTCCATCCCCACATGTTACACCTGTTAAGTCTGTTCTTGCAGACTCCCAGACCCGACAACCTCACCGGGGCTCGCAGGAGCTGCCCAGCCTGCTCTAGCCAGCTTTAGTGGTTCTGGTTCCCGGCTTCAGAGCTGAGCTGGGTCCAGCAGGTACACACGCGGAGGCTCCTCCCAGCCATGTTTTGAATTGGCATGGCTTTCTCTAATGGGATGACCCTGGCTAAAGAGATTAACAACTGCATTGTGGATCCCACTCTTAATCCGCAGTGTTCGGGCTGTCCCTCCTTGCCTGGGAAGGACGCAGCAGAGACGACGGCCGGCCGAGACTGGCTCCCGCTACCATTACTGAGTTAATGGGGATCCTAGGCTAGGGAGGCCCCAAAGATGGGCAACTCCCGGCAGCGTGGGCCCATGGTGCTCTTCCTAAGGCCCTGAGTGGTCTAGCCCCTGACCTCACTCGGGTTAGGAGTGGAAGCAGAACTGTGGGAGGCTGCCTGGACCCCACTCGGTAAGCATGGCGCTGCTCAAAGTCAAGTTTGACCAGAAGAAGCGGGTCAAGCTGGCCCAGGGGCTCTGGCTTATGAACTGGCTGTCCGTGTTGGCCGGCATCATCCTCTTCAGCCTGGGGCTGTTCCTGAAGATTGAACTCCGCAAGAGGAGCGAGGTGATGAATAATTCTGAAAGCCACTTTGTCCCCAACTCCCTGATAGGGGTGGGGGTGCTGTCCTGTGTCTTCAACTCGCTGGCTGGCAAGATCTGCTACGACGCCCTGGACCCTGCCAAGTACGCCAAGTGGAAGCCCTGGCTGAAGCCGTACCTGGCCGTCTGCGTCCTCTTCAATGTCCTCCTCTTCCTCGTGGCTCTCTGTTGCTTCCTGCTGCGGGGCTCCCTGGAGAGCACCCTGGCTTACGGGCTCAAGAATGGGATGAAGTACTATCGGGACACGGACACCCCGGGCAGATGCTTCATGAAAAAGACCATCGACATGCTTCAAATCGAGTTCAAGTGCTGCGGCAACAACGGCTTCCGGGACTGGTTCGAGATCCAGTGGATCAGTAATCGCTACCTGGACTTTTCCTCCAAGGAGGTCAAAGAGTGAGTAGCCACCACTCCAGGGAGGGAGACCCAGGTGTTGGATATCCCCCGGCCTGCCCAGCGCACTTTCCCCTCGGCTGGGTATAGAATCAGTCGGGGGTGTGGGGGTGTTAGGCTGGACCACGTGAAACTGCCAGCAGCCTGGGCCCTCTGGCCCTCAACAATGGCAACTTCATCTGGTTCAACCTCACATCTGGCTGAGGCAGGGGCAGGTGTGTGGTAAAATAAAGATGCTTAGGTGGATGGGAGTTACCAGGAGGCGAGCCATAGTGTGGGGCACTTCATACAGTAAGAATGGGGTCTTCAGGGCTCCCTCAGACTCAGAAGTTTCTTAGCACTTATCTTATTCCATCAAATTTCCCCCTGGTTTGCGTCTTGGTTTTTGGAGCTTTCAACACTTGAAAAGGCCAAAGGTGTTGGCAAAGAGTCCGTCCTTGGACATGGCAGAATTCAAGGTGGACTATCTCCTGTGGTGTTCAGGGAGGGGAGGGCAGTCAGCTTTGGACTGCATTTTGTTCTCAACTGGCTGTGACCTCAGGCAGGCTGCTCAGCCCTGTGGGTCCCTCCCCATCTTTCAAGGGAAGAGACTGGAATATGTGATCATAGACTGTCTCCTGGTTCCTGGTCTGCCTACGCCTGGTGTACAGCTCATCAATGCCCGCTTGTTCTGGCTTTCTCTCTCTTCCTTTTTTTTTTTTTTTTTTTTTAAATTCAGGGTCTTACTATGTGGTTTGGCTGCCTGGAACTCCTTATGTGGACTAGGCTGGTCTTGAACTCAGAAAGATCCTTCTATTTCTGCCTTTCAAGTGCTGGGATTAAAGGCATGTGCCGCCATGCCCAGCGCACTTTGTGTGTGTGTGTGTGTGTGTGTGTGTGTGTGTGTGTGTGTGCACGCCGCAGAGGGCAGGGACAGCTTTAGGGCGTTGGGTCTTCCTTCCTGCTGTGGACATGGCCGTCACACTCAGGTTGTCAGGGATGCATGGTGAACCGTTCTCCCCACAGAGCTGTTTTGCTGACATAGCCCAGCTAAGTGTTTCCAAAGTACTCCTGGCCTGTGTGAAAGTGAAGTCCTGTGGAGGGGAGGTGCTGGTGGGGACGAGCCTTGGCCTCAGCTCTGGCTGCTCTTCCCCACAGATGGCCTCTGGGGTGGGGGCATGCTCTACACTCCCTGGCTGACATTCCAGGGCGGCGGCTCACCCAGATGCCTTTTCCTCTGAGTAACTCTGGTGAATCTCACTGGGTGTTGAACTGGCAGGCACCCAGCGGCAGGAACTGCTTGAAGCCCAGAGGTTCCTGGACCACTGACATCTTAGTGTAGAGGAGGCTTTGCTCCTCAGGTGGAAGGAAGCCCCAGTGAAGGTCACTGCTGGGATGTCTTTTCTCTGTGGAAGGAGATTACAGCCACAAATCCCCAGCCAAGGAGAGGATTGTGACTAGCTCTGCCCTTCCTAGATGACAGGTCTGTGGGGACAGGATAGGAGGGCGGGATTTGCATAAGCCACCTCAGCAGGATGTGTGCCAGGGGACACGCAGCACTCTCGGGAGTATGGGAGGCCAATTCTAACGTGGACTCTTGATGATGGAAACCGTTTCTTTTTTCTCCTTTTCAAATTGACTGCTTCATGTGTGTGTAATGTGTTTTGAGCAGGTCTACCCCACCCCTGTGACCCCAATCCCCACAAGTTCACGTTCTCTCTCTCTCTCTCTCTCTTTCTCTCTCTCTCTCTCTCTCTCTCTCTCTCTCTCTCTCTCTCTCTCTCTCGTTAAGGCTATCAGTGTGTACATCGGTGTCTGGCCATCTACTGGGGTATGGAGAGTCTCTAAGGACCACACCCCTGAAGAACACTGACTCCCTCCCATAGCAGCCACCCATTGCTAATAGCTCCTCAGAAGTAGGAATTCCTGACCGCTCCCCCATCCACGCTGGGACTTTTTCTGGCTTGATTTTGTGCATTCGGTCAACATCTGGCTATCATTTCATATGTGTAGCTGCCCTGCTGTGTCTGGAAAGCAGTGTTTATCGCAAGGGTGCACTGGCTCGGGCACTCTGCGCCCACGCGCCCCGAGACGGTGCCCGAGCATTGGAAGGAGGGCTATGATATGGAGCCGTTTAGAGCTGAGCAGTCCGTATTTTCTGCACGCTGAGCAGCTGTGAGCCTCTGTTACTTCACCAACGACTGTCAAAAGAGGCATCTCTGGTGGAGGGTGACAGCGCCTATAGACGAGTTTACTAAGTCATTAGTTGGTTTACTTCTATGTCCATTCGGTAGATATTGCAGGAATCCTCCCCCGGGCGCCCTTTGCTATCCCCACGTTGTGATGAGGGCCATGATAACGCAGGGCCTTGGGCATGCTGGCGAGTGCTTTCCCACTGACCCACCTTCTCAATGCCTGCCCATCTGCCTGCCTCCCACCCTCCCCCCTCCCTCCCGCCCTCCCCCTTCTCCCTCCTCTCTGTCCTTTCCTGTAGGAGGCAGGTGCTGTCCCTTTCAGTGCCCCCAATCCTCTTTGTCAGACTCTTGTCTTCCCCAGAGACTCAGGCTTTGAAGAGTAATAGAAGAGTCCTCTGGAACTTCAGGTTCCTTCTGCTCCGAGAGTGGAGATATGACCAGGTCACTCTACTCCCGTTGTCCAGCGGACCCAAACTTCCCAGCAGACTTTTGACTCCATCAGAACTACTCTAGTGGGGCTGGCAGGGTAGCCCAGTGGGCGAAAGTACGTGCTGCTAAGCCTGATGACTTGACTTTGGTGCCACATGGTGAGAGGACCCAACTCCAGCAAGTGTCCCTGACACACAAGTGCTGCTGTGTGCTTTCACCCCACCACAACAAACAGTACCATTAAAAGGTGGCGGCACACACCTTTAATCCCAGCACTCGGGAGGCAGAGGCAGGCAGATCTCTGTGAGTTCGAGGCCAGCCTGGTCTACAGAGTGAGATCCAGGACAGGCACCAAAACTACACAGAGAAACCTTGTCTCAAAAAACAACAACAACAACAACAAAAAAAAAAAAACCCAAAACACAAACAAACAAAAAATTTACCTCTGTGTACCATACCAACTTGCTGGGATGCAAATGCAATTATTATTATTTTTTTCTCAAGACAGGGTTTCTCAGGAACACAGATCTGTCCCCCACAGGGTTTCTTTTATCTTCTTTTAGGGCCCTGCCCCTTTCATCAGACTGGGGTGTTGGGTCCCGGAGGAGGAACCCAGGTTAGCCCAGGGGAGGAAGGGCCAAGCTCAAGGTGGGACTTCCCCGGGCCCTCTCGGCACACCACTCTGCCCCCTATCTGCAGTACCACCTTGTTTACTTAGGGCCTGCCCGCTTTCCAACCACAGATTAGGGCCCCACTCGCCCCCTAAGACACAGCCAGGTGGCACAGAGCTCCTTAGGTGGTGAGCTGGCTATTTATATCAGAGTATTTCCCAGGCTATTAAAGTACTCTGCTTGGGGGGGGGGGTCACTGGGTCTTGTAATGTCTTAAGGTAAAGCCCGTGTTCTAGGCTACCCCTCACAGCCAAGCTACATCTAGCCTTGTCAAGGCATCCTGCAGACTCTTCTGGAAAACGTGTAATTTGGCAGGTGAATTGATAGGTAATTTGGCAGTGGAGAGGGTTACAACATCTGGTGCATGGTGACTTAACGCTACTCAGAGCGCAGAGGGACAGGCGGAGGATGGGGGCCATTGCCTTGACCTCTGAGCTTTGGTAACCCTACCTAAAAAGTGAGAATCTAGGAAAGTATGGCGGAGAGTTGATCCAGGGGGCTGCTCTGGGCACGGGGTATATATACAGCCAGGGCTTAGCAACATTCTTCCCCTCCACCCACCTCCTCCCTCCTCTCTGCTAGGCTTAGTTTTTCGACTTCTTCCCTAAGTAAGCCAGGCATGGTTCACTTCAGATGGCCAGGAGCTGTGTAAGGAAGGGAGACACGGTCACGTCCTGTGGAGACCAGCAGGGGGTCTTGCTCACCCAAGTTTAGGAAGGGGCAGTGGAGAGATGGGGACACTCAGGAGCCTCTGCTGGCCCCGACCCTGTGACTGCTGACCTGACTCTCACTTCAGACTCACTGTGGCATGTATGAGGCAGGTGTACAGGCTTTAGTTCAGCTTGGGGACATCTGGGGTGGTGTGGGGTGGCTGATGGTGCTAGGCAGTGGTTACTGAGACACCAAATGAGTAGAGGATCACATTTTCTCTCGTATTTAACTCTCTCCAGGAAGAAGGCCCGCAGAAGCGGGGCTGGGAGGGAACTCAGATGCAGGATGCGCACCTAGCACGGTAGAAGCCTTGGGTTGCGTCCCGGCTCCATATAATCGGGGTGTGGTAGCACATGCCTGTAGTTCTTAGCACACAGGAGGATCAGAAACTCATCTTCATCTCATCCTCAGCTCCATAAAGAGTTCAAGGCCAGCCTAGGATAGCGGCCTCTGCTCCTGAGAAGTGGGTGGATTCCAAGGCAATAGGGAAGGCTGTGGGTTGTCTTCAGTTACCTGTGTGGTTTTAGATTGAGACACTGCCCTGCCCAGAGTCCCATTTCCTCCTCTCTGGAACAATCTGGTGTTTTTCAAGGTCCTCTTCATCTTTTTTTTTTTTAATTATTATTTATAACTGCTCGGCCATTAGCTCAGGCTTATTACTGACATGTTGAATTAACCCATTTCTATAAATCTATACTTTGCCACGGGGCTCGTGGCTTACCAGTACCTTTACATCTTGCTTCTCATGGCAGCGGCTGACAGTGAAGCCGACATCTTCTGAAGGCCGAGGGAACACTGTGTTACTTGTATTACCTGTGAGGGCTCCTGTCACCTCACACAGGCCCAGGAAGGTCCAGCCTCACAGATAACAAGCAGCACCGAGATCTGTTCTCTGCCCTACCCACACTGCCCCTGGTGATACTAGCAATGGCTTCAGAGGATGTATGTGCTTGGAGAGAGGGCTCAGGGGACAGCCTGCGAGTCAGGAGCAGGACCAACAGCACCTGAGTGTGGACGCCCTCAGCTGTGAGTAAAGCCAGTGAGGGTCCTGGGTGCTTGGAAGGAGGAATCCTCTCAGAGACTCAATTCTGCTCAGTGTGCCCAGGGCCACTGGTCTCCAGGAGGGAAGGGGGGTGGAGAGATGGGGCCTCTGTTGCCTCAGCCTTAGGACTACCGGTCAGACCCTCATTTCAGACATCCTTGCAGTGTAAGGCAGGTGTGGAGTTTTCACCCCAGCTCAGGGACACCTGAAGGCCCTGCCAACACCCTCCAACCTGCCTTCCTGCCCCACCGAGGGCACCCCCACCGGCACTGACCCAGTGCCAAGCTCCAGGGGCTGGGCAGAAGCCCAGCAAGGTCTGGCTCATGCGGTCCGTGCCCAACGGCGCCATCAGGCAGATGGCTCCAGTGGCAGTCCAGCGTTATCAGCCCTCGCCTCCCTCCCCCAGGGCAGCGAGCCTGCATATGGCTGCCTCAGAGAGGATCCTGCCCTGCAGCTACCCTCAAAGGCCCAGCACTAGAGCCGCGAACTCACAGGTGGCCACGTCCCTGTGTTGTCCCCTTCATTTCCTAACCTGATGAAGGCTTCTCGGGTACTCGGAATGGCTCTTGCTCAGCCACTGCCCAGTGAGACATCCTTTGTGCACTTTGTATAATCCTCATGTCAGCCCCATGTTACAGCTGAGGAAGCTGAGGTAGGCCAGGATTAAGGAATTTGTCTGAAGGGATGAAGCCGGACTGTGCAGAGCAGGAGTCAACTCCAGTGGTCCCCTCGTCCCCCGGCCTCATGTCCACGCCCCCTAGTGCCACCCATTCTTCAGACAGTGCACCCTGCCCATGAGTAGGTGTCAGCATTGAAGGATGTGTGGAAGTGTGTCACAGCCCAGGCCACCATGTGCAGCCTCCAAGAGCCCCAATCCTGATGGGTGGCAGGCAGCAGGCAGCGCACAGAAATGGCCCCACGGCTGATCTGCAGCAAAGTGTGCTCAGCTTCCCTTGGAAAGAGAAAATGTAAATTCAGATAAGCTGAGGGGCCAAGTGAGATGCCTTAGTGGAGGGGCCTGGGTGGGGGTGGGTGGGCAGGGATGACGATGGGGGAAATCAGGTTGTCCTCTGACCTCTGCATGGCGCCATGATTCACGTGTGTGCACACAATAATAAATGTAAGAGAATCATGTCCTCTCCAGTAAGACACTGATGAATTCCCTTAAAACAAAGGAAAACTCAAAACTATCTCTCTCTCTCTCTCTCTTTGTTTTTTTTTTGTTTTTTTTTTTTTTTGAGCTGAGGACCGAACCCAGGGCCTTGTGCTTGCTAGGCAAGCGCTCTACCACTGAGCTAAATCCCCACCCTGGTACTATCTCTTATCTACTAGGTCTACAGAGATCAAAGCTTGGACTGGTGTGGGTGTGGGTGTATGTGTGTGTGTAGTGTGTGTGTGGTGTGTGTGTGTGTATGGTGTGGTGTATGTGAGTGTGGTGTGGTGTGGGTGTGGCTGGGAGATGCAGGTGTGTCTCCCACGGCTGGCTGGACATGTGACAGCCTTTCAGGTGAGAATGATGGGGTGGGGCAGGCTCACCCACAGACACAGGGCACTTCTTCTGTAGATTTGAGTCTGTATGCCACACAAACAAGTCTATGGACCGTGTGGTCCATCCCCACATCAGGCTGCCACAGACGTAGCTCACTGAAACAATAAACAATAAACAAACAAACAAACAAAATCCAGGACACTCTCCATTGGCAGATGTGAAAAGACCTCTATGTAAGGCTACCATGTGGGTTTTTCAATTTTTAAAAACAATTATTATTATCATTGGAGCATGTGCGTGTGCGTGTGTGTGCGTGTGCATGTGTGTGTGTGTGCGCGTGTGTGTGTGTGTGTGTGTGTGTGTGTGTGTGTGTATCTGTGTGTGTGTACAGGTGTGCATATTCTGCAGCTTGCTTGTGGAGTTCAGAAGACAAAGTGTGGAAGTGGTTTCCTGCTCCTGCTGTGAAGTCCTAGTGATCAGACTCAGGCCATCAGGTTTGGCAAGGCCCTCTACCCACTGAGCCATCTTGTCGGCCTCCACATGGGCTCTTACCAATGATGGTGCTAAGGCAGGCTTGATTTATTTTATTCGTGTGTATGAGGGTGCATGGGCACGTGTGTATGTGTACACAAGGATGCACGGGTGTGTGGAGGGCCGAGGATGACCTTAGGTGTCCTCAGGTGCTGGCCAAGCAGGCTACACCAGGTAGCCAGGGACTTCCAGGAATGCTTCTGTCTGGTTCCCTAAAGTGCAAGCCATCACGTCAGCAGATGAAATTCGGGTCCTTTCACCTGCATGGTCAAGCATGTCACCAATTTGAGCTGTCTCTAGCTTTTATTTATGTATTTATCTTTGGAGACAGGGTCTTGTATAATCTGAGCTGGCCTTGAACGCACTGTGTAGCTGAGGATGACCTTAAACTCTGGATCCTCTTGCCTGCACCTCCCAAGGGCTGGGACTACAGAGTACTCCACCAGGCCCGGCCAAGTCCACACATTTTGGGGGAGGGGTGCTTTTTTGAGACAGGGTTTCTCTGTGTAGCTCTGGCTGTTCTGGAACTTGCTTTGTAGACCAGGCTGGCCTTGAACTCACAGAGATCCACCTGCCTCTGCCTCCCGAGTGCTGAGATTAAAGGTGTGTTAAGTGTGCTGTTGGAAGGATTTTGTCACCTGGTCAGGTAGCCTGTACAGTCTGTGGGGGTGGGGAGGCCTTTTCACTGTAAAGATTCCAAGGCACAGTGTACCCTAAAGAATCAAACTAACAGATATGAAGAGTCCTGTGAGCCTTGCCTGGTGGTTTAGGGAGCCAAGGACATAGCTTTGTCTTTCAAAGCGAGTAGGAAGGCTCCCCTGCTGTGAGTTTACAGAGCTGAGGTCTGTGACCATCCCCAGCCTCCATGTCCTACCCTTGCACAGGCCCTGGGCCAGAGCAAGCCTTCCAGAAACGTCTTTCTAGAGAGGGCCTTGGTCCTGAGTGACCTGTGATGGGAGAGATGGTTGGTGAAGGGATGAGGGTTACATTCTATCAGCCGCAGCAGCCGCCTTCATCCCAGGTCCTTAATTCCTACTGGCTTGGTGTGCTTCCAAGAAGTCCCTGGAAGCTGGGGTCTGCCTGGCAACATAGGGTGGTTGGGTGAATTTCTGTGTTCTCTGTTCACTTTGCCCTCTGCCTCCACCTTCCAGAACATTCACTCCAGGAAGACAGGGGTAGGGTCAGTGCTCACTGCTCTCTCTGTAGTTCCTAGTGCAGAGGCTGGCATGCGGTGGGTGTTTGTGGGCAGCGCATGAAAGAAAATGCAGTGAGATGTCCCGGAAACCTGAATCGGGCTCTTTCTCTTCCAGTCGGATCAAGAGCAACGTGGATGGGCGGTACCTGGTGGATGGAGTCCCTTTCAGCTGCTGCAACCCCAGCTCGCCACGGCCCTGCATCCAGTACCAGCTCACCAACAACTCGGCACACTACAGCTACGACCACCAGACCGAGGAGCTGAACCTCTGGCTTCGGGGCTGCAGGGCCGCCCTGCTGAATTACTATAGCAGCCTCATGAACTCCATGGGCGTGGTCACACTCCTGGTCTGGCTCTTTGAGGTAGGTCCACAGAGGACAAGGGAGAGGGAGCCTGCCGGACGACCTGGGGAGCAGACCTGCAGGGTCTCAGGTAATTCAGGCTGGCTTTGAACTTGAGACATAGCCAAAGCTCACCCTGAATTCCTTACTCTCCTGGCACTTGGGAGGCAACATGTGTCTGTCGCTATGCCAGACTTCTTTTTATTGTTGGGACAGAGTCTCACTATGTTGCCCATGCTGGCCTTGAGTTTACTCTCCCCTGCCTCAGCTGCCCCCAAAAGTCCATAGTGTGGGCCGCCAGGCTGGCATCATTGCTTACAAAAATGTTTAGGTAAAACCAACATAAAATAACGTTTTCTTCTTCTTTATTTTCTTTTTGAGATAAGGTCTTTCTATTTGTAGCCCTGGCTGCCCTGCAACTCTCCATGTAGCCCAGGCTGCCCTCAAACTCACAGAGATCTGCCCGCCCCTGCCTACTGAGTGCTGGGATTAAAGACATTCGCATTTACATCCTGCAAAAATCAAGCCATTTAGTGTATTCACATAGCACCTATCCACCACCTCATTCTAGTTCTAAAACATTTCCTAGCCCCCTCAAGAAAACGCTCAGCCCCCCCATCTGTACTCTGTCTGCGGATTTACCTACTCTGGACACTTAGCGTACGTGGGCCCTTGCACTGTGCAACCTTTTACGCTTAGCTTTTCACTTAGCCCGACTTGGGGGTTCCCCTGTGCTTCCACTTCCTGTTTCTAAGGCCTTGGATGGTCGTATCAACTGTTACATGGGGACAGCAGCATTACCTCTGGACTACTGGGACCTTCAGTCGATCGGGTCAGTCAGTGTTAACATGGTCGTCTAACCACCAATGGGTCATGTCATCTGCTAGGCTTAGCTCCTCTTTCTGAAGCTCTGGAGCTTGGAACTCAGCACTCCACCCCCATCCTCTTGTCCAGTTCATCCTTGGAAGGGAGTTCTCAACCAACCAGTACTGGGAGCTGTTCTAGGTGCTGAAAGGGCCACACGCTACTTTGGGTGACTTGGGATGCCTGCATGCAGCAATTCTTGCAGCAGAAAACCCAGGCTCCGAAATCAAAATGTATCAAGATAGAAACATTAGCTGAGGCAGTTTCTCTCTATCAGAGAAGGTTCCTTGAGTCTCTCTTGTAGTCCATAGATGTGGACAGGGAGTAATTACACAGGTCTTCTCAGCCACCACGAGAAACGACGTCGTGGTTGGACCACACGCGAAGGCTTTTGATGTCCAGGCACATGTGGCACCTCCTGGCCACTTACTTGCTGATGACACCCTGAGGTAGTCTTGGGGATGGGTGGCATGAGGGGAGAGCTCACCACCAGGTGGACAGTCACCACCGTCTACAACCAATGACAAGACGGTTGTCCTTGACGACTCTAGTGGAGCACCTGGACTCCCTCCAGCTCCCAGGGGCCAGAACAGGGAGTCTGAACACCCCAACTCCTAGTGAGCAGAGCTGCTGTAGACACTGGGCTGCCGGAGCTGCTGGCAGCACTGGGACCTTGGTCTTCCACCTCTGGTGCATCACAGCCCAGGCAGGAGATGATCAATCATGGGAACTAAGGGCAGATGCAGAGTCCAGGGTGCAGCAGGCTTCCTTCACGAGCAGGTCACTGTTTCCATTCTAAAACACGCTAGGACACTTTCCACAGACACCACCACCTAAGACGGGCTAAGTCACTGTCACAGATACTCCTACAATCACCCTCACACCCTCCTCAGTGTGCCCACTGCAGATGTTAGGGGAGGTGCCACCAACACCCTGTGTGCTCTGGGGCTGGGGTGCCGGATGAACCAGATGTGTGGGGGTGGGGGGACAGTCCTCCTCCTGGGGAGCATCCTGGAGTTGCACAGGGAACTTGCCTAGACTGAGTAGTGGATGGATTACAAAAGGAAAGAAACACGGTGCCTACCAGTCACCAGCCAGCTGACACACATGGGGTCCCACGCCATCCGCAGGAGGCGGTTACCATCTCCTCTGGAATCTGGAAGCCATGGTCTCCTAGCCTCACAGGCACATAAGTACAGGCTGGGATGCCAGTGTAGGCACTTTGGGCACCAGAGTCTGCCACAGTGGATGCAAGTGTGGAAATTCGAGCAGCTGGTGACAAACAGCCATTCGTCACCACCTGAATAAGAGGACAGGAGATTACCCCACACCACAGGGATTGTAGACAAGGAGATGGCTTTTCATTTTTTCAGATTTATGTGTGTGTTCTGTCTGCATGCATGTATGTGCATCATGTGCATGCCTAGTTCCAGTGGAGGTCAGAAGAGGGGGTCGGATCCCCTGGAACTGGAGGTACAGATGGTTGTGAGCCGCCCTGTGGGTGCTGGGAACTGAACCTGGGTCCTCTGCAAGGGCAGCGAGTGCTCCTGACTGTTGAGTCATCTGCCAGCCCCGGAAATGACTTCTTTTGCTTGTTTGCTTTTTTGAGACAGGATCTCTCCACAGTTCTGGCTGTTCTGGAGCTCTTTGGTAGACCAGGCTGCCTGTGAACTCACAGAGATCCTCCTGCCTCTGCCTCCTGAGTGCTGGGATTAAGGGAGTGAACCACTGAGCCTGACCTGGGAGTGACTTTTTAAAAAATTATATATATATATATATATATATATATATATATTATATATATATAGTGTGTGTGTATGCATGTTATGTGTGTGTGCACTCATGTGCATGTTTGGGCATATGTGTGCCATGGCACACTTGTGGAGGTCAGAAGACAGCCTGTGGCAGTCAGTCATCTCCCTTCCCTATGGGAAATCAACCTCAGGTTGATTCTTGGCAGCAAATCTCTCCTTGTCAAGCCATCTTGCCAGCCCAAGAGGTGACTGGGGCCCTTGTCCAGTGAAGCTGTTAACATTCTTATGGGCCAAGAAACAGGGCATGGAGTAAAGGGCTGGTGTGTCCAGCAAGGTGGGAGGTAGGGAGAAGCAGTGGGGGGCGGTGGGGGCCGTGGGGGTGGGGGAGAGGGGCGGAGGCAGGGCACTCACTCAGGGCTGGCTCTGGATTAACAGAGAGCCATGATGACCTAGGCAAAGAATGTTACATGTTCTAAACAGCTGCGGGGGTCGGGGTGGAATGGGGGCTGGAGAGGGAGGCCAGGTGGGATGGGTCAGGCTTTCACCAACCCAGGCCTGCAGGGCCACCATCAACCATCATCCGGGCGACGTGCATGGCGTTTTCCTAACAGCCCAGCTCCTGGTGATGCTCCGTGTCTGCTCTAAGACTCCGCTCTCCCCACCAGGTGAGCATCACCGCCGGACTCCGATACCTGCACACAGCGCTGGAGAGCGTGTCCGACCCTGAGGACCCTGAGTGTGAGAGCGAGGGCTGGCTGCTGGAGAAGAGCGTGTCGGAGACCTGGAAGGCCTTTCTGGAGAGCTTTAAGAAGCTAGGCAAGGGCAATCAGGTGGAGGCCGAGGGCGCCGATGCAGGCCAGGCCCCAGAGGCTGGCTGATGGCCTGGGGCCTCTCCCCTCCTCCACATTTAGCGGACTCCAGGAAATGTGGGTACCCCCTTGTCCAGCTGAAAGTCCGAATTTCCCGAGAAAGCTGGGCACCTACTGACTCTCCTTGACTGTGGGCCTTGAAGTTCAAGGGTCCTCAGAGCACGTGGCAAACGCCTGTGGAATGGCTGCCCCCAAATGTGAGTGAATGAACCCTTCCAGTGGATGCCCAGTCTCACAGGGGCCGGCCGTTCCAGGACTCATCTCTGTCCGAGCGTGAGTCCGGCTCTCCCACAGGTGACTGGCCGCACCAAGGCCCCTCCCCCGGTAGTGTCTGCCTCTTTTAAGTTCTGCATCCAAACCATCACTTGATACATAAACACAAGGGTGAAAAAACCCAAGGGCCACGTTGTCTTTTCTTTAATGACAGGGCTAACAATCCGGTCATCGTTTTCTTAACGTTAGATAATGGGAGAGGGGCGGCTGTATTTTTATAAGGGCAATGGAGTCCTCCAGAGGGTTACCTCCACAGGAATTCACAGACGGTGAAGAGGTGAGGACTCTCCTTTACCAAAAGTGATTGTCCCCATCCCTACCCCTCAGCCCCTTACTCCAGCTTGAACCAAGGGCTGGCATGTCCCAGCATCCCTTTCGCTCATGAAGTGCTGGGTGAGCCGCTGTCTGTGGTTTGTCTGAGAAAGAACAGGGTGAGCTTACTGTCCTTCTGTGGACGAGCAGCGACCCTCAGACAAGAGTCTACCCCTTGGGGACCAGGCCTTACCTCCTGGTGGGCTGGGAACATGGGCTCAGGCGGCCATGACAGTCCTTGTGGACTGCACATGAGGAGGATAGAGCCTCTGGGAACTTCGGTTTCCCCTCCTGCAAAGCCCCGTGGGAATGCTTCGGTATCAAGGAAGACTCTTGAAGACAGGCTTTCTTTCCAAACCAGCATGTGTGGGAAGTCGCCATTTCTTTTGGGAAAGACAGGCAAGCTCTCTGGGGAAGTGAAGCACAGTTTTGCTGGTGCCCAGGCTGGGGGTGCCCAGATTGCCACAGGAGTGCACTGTGTGGCTCGAACCTCTCGGGAACCAATCAGAGATGCTGACACCCCAACACATCTCGGCTCTGGTGCTGTCCTCTGAGACTCTCAGAGCAAAGGGCGGCCCAGAGGCTGAGGCAGGCACCTGTGGCGAGGACCCTGAGTTTCCCACCATCCCCCGGGAGGGCTGAGAACCACTGTGAAAGCTACTTTAGACCACAGGCCACTATGCTGCCGACAGTCGTATTGAGATATTAAAAGCTATATTGTATGGAAATCACTTCTGTGACGTGGCTGTCTCAGTCCGTTCAACAGCACAAATCACAGGACGTCCAGTTCTTGCCAGTACCTGGTTACATGGGCAGAATCCAGGCCTGGCAGTCTATGTCTATGATCCTAGCATTTGGGAGGTGGAGGCCAGAGGATCAGGAGTTCACCGTCATCTTCTACTACAAAGTAAGTTCCAAGGCTAGCCTGGGCTACCTTAGACTGTCTTATAACTAGGGGAGGGGAATGGGAGCTAGAGGGATTGCCTCAGTGATTAAGAGTGCCTGCTATTCTTCCAGAGGACACATGTTCGGTTCCTCTCACCCATAGGTACATATCACAATTAAACTCCAGCTCCAGGAGATCTGGTGACTTTTTCTGGCCTCTATGAATACGCCCACACACGGCACCCTCCCACAGATACATAAGTAATAACTCTAAAAAAATCAAGTCTTAGCTGGACAGTGGTGCACACGCCTTTAATCCCAGCACTCAGAAGGCAGAGGCAGGAGGATTTCTGAGTTGGAAGCCAGCCTGGTCCACAAAGTGAGTTTCAGGAAAGCCAGAACTTTACAGAGAACTGCCCCCACAAAAAAAAGTCTTTTTTTTTTTTCATGCTGGATTTCTTTCTTTTTTTTTGGAGCTGAGGATTGAACCCAGGACTTTGTGCTTGCTAGGCAAGTGCTCTACCACTGAGCTAAATTCCCAACCCTAAATGTGTAGCCCAGGCTGGCCTCGAACTCATGATCCTCCTGCCTCTGTCTCCTTCATCAAATCCTACCGGGGTGCACCACCACAACTGGTTCATGCTGGATTTCTTTAAAAAAAAAAAAAAAAGGTAAGTCTCCTTGGGGCCAGGTTATGGGTGGGTATGGTTTGGAGAAGACAGGCTTAATTGCATTGGAAACAGTCAGAGGCAGCCTGACACTCGTCAGGAAAACCTAGCCCATGCCTTTTGGTGCCCATGACCACTCTGGTACCAGGCTCCTCAAGCTTGTGTGAACTAATAGATAGGTGTGTAAGCCCAGACCCAGGCAGGGCCACTGGTAAAGACAGGACCAGGGACTTTTTTCTTCAATGGTGTGATGGGGTTCGACACCAGCCTTGTGTGCTCTGGGTGAGGGCTTTTAACAGAGTCACATCCCAACCCAGACTTCTGCTTGAGACTGGGTCCCTACAGCCCAAGTTGGTCTGGAACTTGCTATGTAGACCAGGCTAGCCTTAAACTCAGCCTGTATAATCCTGATTGGCTTAGAACTTTCTACCTAGACCAGACTAGCCTTGAACTCACAGAGACCTGCCAGCCTCTGGCTCCTGAGTGTTGAGAGTGAAGGCGTGCATCACTATTGTCTTGACCCAGGCTTCTATTTTCAAAACATTCTCAAATGAAGTAACAGTTGGTGACTTCTGGTGCTCAGCACCCAGAGAGGCAGAATTCTGGGTGTTTGTAGTCACAGCTCAAGCAAGAACCCACAACTCCCTTTGGCATGCTTTAAGCTCAACAATAATAAACCCCAAGTAACCTCAATATAGGCTGATAGGATTAGCTGGCTCCTGCTGGGCAAGCTCCCGGCGGGGGCACCCGCCCGTTATGCTAAGCCCAGCAGGTTTGCAGCTTAGCTGGACAATTGTGGCCTCTCACGCAGTGTGAGGCACTCTGGGTGTGTCGGGCGGCGGCAGAGTTCTATCTGTGGAAGGTATTAAGTCCACGAAAGGGTCGGATGGATGCCTTCCCACTTCTCAGTGGACATGGATTGGCTGCAGAGGGGACAGCATGACGGAATGAACATCTCACAGCCATTCCCTCAAGGAAATGAAAACCTGGGCCCACAGGAGTGTTTGTAAGCACAGGGTGGTCCCCAACAATCACCCAAGGTCGTTCGGTTGGTGACTGCATTAACATCAGCAGAATGGATGCCACTAGCACCCAGAGGCATGTGCGATTCAAAATGCACTCTTCTTCCTCTTAATACTTCTATTTTAGGCCTCAAACTCACTGTGTACCTCAGATGACCTTGAACTCCCGATCTTCCCGCCCAGGTGCTGGGGTTGTAGGTGTTACACACCACAGCAGTTTTCATGGCATTTGGGATGGGACCCAGCGCTTCATGCATGCTAGGCAACTAACCAAGCTATGCTCTCCAGCTTTAAAATGTATTGGTAGGCAAAGAAGCAGGTTGGGGAGGCACCCCACTCACCTAACATTTTGGAAGGGGTGTAGGAAGGGGATTCAGGGCAGCGAGAGGAGATGAGGGGTATGAAGGGATATTCTGAGGAGGCAGGATTGTTCTAATTCTCAATCTGTGGTTGTTAAACAACTGTGTGCATTTGTCAAAATGTGAAAACAACCCTGTATTCTAAAAAGGGTTAATCTTACTGTTTGTAAAGTGTATGCCAGTAGATAGAGGATCGAGTTGCTGGGCAGTGGTGACCCATATCTTTAATCTCAGCACTTGGTGGCCAGAGGCAGGTCAATCAGTGTGAGTTTGAGGCCAGCCTGGTCTCTGTAGACCAGTTCCAGGGACAGCTCAGGCTACACAGAGAAACCCAGTAGTCAGTGAGGGGCAGCCTGGCCTGGGGCAAGAGTCCACTGGAGGCAGCATTAATGACCAGGTGGGAAGCCCAATGTGGTGAGCCAGATGTTGGACAGTGTCCCAGTGGGGAGCCAGATGTTGGACAGGGTCCCAGTGGAGAGCCAGATGTTGGACAGTGCCCCGACTCTGAGAACACAGAACTCTAATTCTTGCACACATCTCAAGCACCCAGTGTCTGCTGAGTGTAAGAACACGGGCCTGCAGAGAAGCAAGCAGACCAACAAGAGCTTACACACGGGACGAGTCCCACACAGACCTGCTTTCTGTTGAGCTGAGGTCTGAAACGGCCCTGGAGAGTTCTAGCTCAAAGACAACAAGCAGGAAACCTAATCGGCTGAGATAATGTCCATGCTTCCCAGAAAGGTCAGTGTGCCTTGGCCAGTGGCCATAACTGACACTAATAGTTTAAGCCTCTTAAATCTTAGGCTAATATCAACGTCCCACTTTTGCAGAAGGTGACATGGGGTGTGTGTGTGAAAGCAGAGAAGATGGAGGTAACTGAAGGAATGTCAACACCTAAAGCCTTTATTTAATATCTTTAAACTTTTTACATATGATACATTTCAAATTTTACAAGTTGTCCACAGATATTAAAATTATAGCCAATTTATTAAACATATGATTTTCCCTGATATGGAAAGCATGTTATATAAACATTTCTACAACAACAAAACCATGCGGAAACAAACCAAAGTCAGATGTGCTGACAGGGACAGGAAACCATCTTAACACTGCCACACGGAGAGGGCAGGCTGCAGATCTGTGGGAACCCACTGCCCCAGTGCTGACCTTCTCAGGAGTGAAATGCAGGGCTATCCTCCGCTAATTCCAGACTCCTGAGAGTCAGGCCTGAACCCAGAAGTGTCAGGATGACCTTGAAGATGTCTGTGGCCCACGTAGATGAAACAAGCTTGTGCTCATGATTTTTTTCCCCTTTGGGTTGGCACCAGGACTGAACCCAGGACCTTACTCACGCTAGGCAAGGGCTCTAGCATGAGGTTCATGCCCAGAGAGGTCTCATAATTTTAAATTTAAAAATGGTGAATGGAAGGCAAAAAGCCAAGAGGAGCCGAACGAACTTCAATCTGAAGAAACCGTGCGCTCGTGTCAAAGGTCAAGCATCAGGCACATCCCTCACAGCCCATTCAGACCGTGTCAAGGAAAGGCCAGAGAAGGGGGAGAGCATGGAAGATTCTAACTCGGGCCTCCTGCTGCAACCTCTCAGCTCTTGAGCCTGCGCCAAGCAGAAGAGCTACGTGAAGTCCATCCTTGGGAGGGAGGCGGCTCCTCACATGATCCTGGAGCTGTGCTGGCTGCATTTCGCCTCTGGTCTGAATTTCTGACCCTCCTGGGGTACTGTGGCGTGGGTGCAGCTCAGTGGAACCGAACTTGGGGTTGCAATTTGAAAGGCTGAGTGAAAAGGTGGTTAGAAGGGTTAGAAGAGCCGACAGCCTCTTTCTGTTCGCGTGGCGGCCTCGGCCCACGTGGAGACGGAGCTCACCCTCTGTTCAATCTGCGGTCCCAGCGTGCACGTGAGCTCTCTGCGCGTCTGCTGAGTGGAGGCGGCGTGCTGCGCAGGAGCTGGAGCTGCGGCACCCAGGGTTATGGCTCTAGAAAGGCACCTCTCAGAATAAAACCTAAAAAGGACGGAAGCTGTGTGCACGCCGTCTGAGCATGTCCTCAACGGCTGGCAGATGCGCAGCAGCACATCTAATCCAGGAGATGTGGGGTGGGGCAAGAAACCTCAAAACCCTGGCTCCTCGATTTCGGTTGGTCTGAGACGAGGTCTCAAGTCAGCCAGGCTAGCCTCACGCTCCTAACGTGGTTGAAGCTAGCCTTGAACTCCTGGTCTGCCTCAGCCTCCCAGGTGCTGGGATTACAGGCGTGCAGCCTTTCACTAAGCTGAGTTCTCACAGGTCTGCCGCCGTCTGGCTGAGGCTGCACACGCTCTCCGTTTACCTCAGAGCAGGGAGTAACTGTCGGAAAAACTAGGAGGTCCTTTCCATTTCAAAAGCCCTTTAATTGAGTAAGCCAAAAGTCTTGACAAAAATAGAGAAAACCAACCAGATAGAGCTGTGAGAAGCTGGCCGCTCTCCCCCTAGGCTCTCCTGCTAGCATCTCCAGCCTTCCAGGCCACACAGAGAAGGGAATCCCAGCTTCAAATTCAACGGCTTTGCTCTCGGAGGTGAGGTCCAGTCCCAGAGGAGAACCGCACCCCAGCGCTGAGGCACCAAGGTTGGAAAAGTCATCTTGCTGGGCCCCAGGGCTCCTTTTGGCCTCTGCTGAATGGCCAACAAGTCCAACACAATCAGTGATGTGGAGCGGCTCAGGCTACTGAAGCAGGAGCGAGCTCCAGGCTAAAGAGGATCTCTGCCCAGGTAACATCTGAGGGTACAGCAATAAAATCTGGTGGAAAATTATTCTCATCAGTCCCTGGAGCCAGAAACTAGAAAAATAAAACTGGGAAGAAAGCTTAAATAAAGAATTTATTTCAAAATAGATCCAGCCGAACTTCTTTTCTGTCGTCTTTCTGGAGAAGCCGGCTGGGTTACAGAACTCCAGGTTGAAGGTTTTGGTAGAGGAGTGAGTGACTATAAATGCTGCCAGTCGATGCCGACCAGGGTCTGGTTGGCTTCCTGCGCGTGGCCGATCTCCTCCGTGATGCTGTGCTGCTGCCATAGCTTCTGGATCTTTCGAAACCGCTCTTGGCACAAATGTAAAGGGTTTCCTCGTCTAGAAAGAGACACGTGTCACTCACATGCAGTTTATCCATCCCTCATATCCCAACCCTCCTGCGCCAGGCAAGGTGCATGGAACCAGTTTCAGATTCTGCCCTTTCCACTGCGGAGCTGGGGTCCTCCCTGCAGGGCGCTCACCCTCCCGGGCTGTGGGATGAACTGTCACAGGGGGCCCATGCCCAACCTTGGTTATTCAAGCCCGGGGAGTCACATCTGCCTTAGCTCTTTCATCCTCTCTGGGCAGAGAAGGCTGGCAAGCTCTGCAGTCTGGCTTTGAGAGCGGGAGTCTCAGAGCAGAAGCAACCGCCTCTCAAGGCAGCTGTGGCCACTCTGGTCAAGTCTGCTCTTATGTCATCAGGGTATAAGCGGTCTCCCCGTAGAGAGCCACACAAGTCAGACGGTCTGTGGTGCTGATGCTGGAGATGCTGTGACTCAGACATGTGATGAGTGGAATGGGGCTGCAAGATCTTCCTTTCTCATTTTATCCTATATTCCTCATGTCGATCTTTTAAAGTTTTTATTTATTATCTACTTTTTTTTTTTTTTTTTTTGGAGCTGAGGATCGAACCCAGGGCCTTGCACTTGCTAGGCAAGTGCTCTACCACTGGGCTAAATCCCCAATCCTTATTATCTACTTTTTTTGTTTTTGTTTTTTCAAAACAGGGTTTCTTTGAATAGCCCTAGCTGTCCTGGAACTCACTCTGCAGATCAGGTGAGTTGCCTGGCAATAATAAATTTTTATCTTTCACTATCGTGGTAACTGGAGTATTCCTTTATCTACCTAGTCAGTTACCTCCTACCTTACCCTCTAAGATTTTCTTTCCTTTTTTTTTTTTTAAATAATCTCCTCCTTTTTCTCAGCTGTACTGTCGTTTATAAATACAGCCGACTGTTCACCTGATACCTTAGAGGAAAGGCAGACAGAAGGAAAGGGGCCTCCTAAGTTCTTCCCCTCTTCTAGTGACTCCTGTGTTATTTGGATGATAATGAATTCTTGATGTTGTGTTCAGGATGTCATTGACAGGATACTCTTAAAAGTGATGGATAGGTAAATAAAGGAATACTCCAGTTACCACCATAGTGGAAGAGATAAAACCTAGTTTCAGCGACTGGCTTTCATATTTGCCACAGATAAAGAAACTCATAGTCATTCTCACATCTTATTAAATTTAGAATGAACCTACTAAAGGTGGTGAATCTAGAGCTACCCTGCCCAGCACAGGAGACAAAAAGCCATACAGTTATGGAGCACTTGAAACATGGGCAGTCCAAAACAAGAAGTGCTGTAAATGTAAAATATGCACCATGCTTCAAAGACAGTATGAGAAAAAAATTCCATAAGTAATATAAGTTGACTATTGGCTAAAGTGACAGTATTTTCATTATATTGCATTAAATATTATTTAAAAGAAAAAAATTAAAAGTAGTTAATATGAAGAGAAAAATTAGCCAGGCAGTGGTGGCGCACACCTTTAATGCCAGCACTCAGGAGGCAGAGGCAGGTGGATCTGAGTTCGAGGCCAGCCTGGTCTACAGAGTGAGTTCCAGGACAGCCAGAGTTATAGAGAAACCCTGTCTTGAAAAACAAAAAATTCAGGACACTCTTTGGAGTGTCTTCTCACTCAGTTACTCGCCAGTTCAATTCTGGTGCTCACCAACTAGGTGAGGCTGGCTGCCCAGTAAGCCCCGGAACCTCCCGTCTCCATCTCCTCAGCACTGGGATGGTGAGTGTGCAGCACACGCTTAGCTTTTTACGTGGCTTCTGTGGCTCACACCCGGGTGCTCACGCCTGCATGGCAAGCGCTGTAGCAATGGAGCTGCCCCTCTCTCACAGCATTCTCAGGCTGGGAGAACAGCAAGCAGACAGTCTGGAAACCAGTCCACAGGGAACAAAGCCACCGCCAGCGGAACTGGCTCCTGGGCGTCAGCTGGCTGACTCCAGGACCTCCCGACTCATGCTCTCCAGGAAGGGAAGGGCTTTGAGGCCCACGGTCAGCCTCCCTGACTCTCAGGCTGGGCCTTACCTGAGCCCCTGGTCTGTCTCCCCGTAGTCATCCAGGTAGGGAGGAGAGTAAAAACATCCTTTGGTTTTGCCAGCTAGAAATAGCACCTGACATTCCCGCACTCTGTGGAGAGAGCAGAGCGTTCATCATTGCATCTCTGTAAGTGAGCGAGGTGGGGATTCAAGGGTTTATGTAAGCGAACGAAGAAAGCAATGAAGCCCGGGGTTGGAGGAGAAAAGCAGCTGCAGCAGGGACGCCGACACTAACAAGCCGCTGCCCAGGTCTCAGCGGAACCAAGATGGCCGCATGCACCTGGTGACGACCTACTGCAAATACAGTGACTTCGGGGTGAGGACCCGGGGCTCCAGGAGAACTTAAAACTGAAGGGTGAAAAAGCTAAATTCTAAACACGAGATACTACTCATCTTTTCACCATAACTATGATAAACATAGTCGTTTGGAAAATTATGCACAAGAGTTACTGGTGTTTTCTGGCTGAGGACAACAGCGGACCGCAGCCTGTGACCGCAGGGAATCTAAGAGTACCCAGTGCGCCGGACGGAGGAAGAGTCGACGGTGCTTCTTAGAGTTACTGAGTTGTGTTTCAGTCTAAGTGTGTGAGCCCACAGAGGCCGCAGGAGGGCATCAGGGCCCTGGCACCGGGGTTACAGGCGGCTGTGAGCTGCCACACGGACGCTGAGAACCAAAGCCAGGTCTTCTGCAGGAGCAGCCAGTGCTCTCTTGGCCTGTCTCCCAGCCCCTGGAGGGGAGTTCTTACCTGGGTTTGGGGAGGACACCCGGGACGGGGCAGCCTCACACTTAGGGAGGCCAAAGAGGAGCAGAGCCGTCAGCTGGGAGCTGGGCTGGCACCTGGGAGCTGGCACTTGTGGGAGAACCAGTTGGTGGCGCCATACGGGCAATGTGAGGGCCCTGGACCTTCACAGTCCCCGAGCAGTGCTATTCTCTTGTCCCGGGAGTAGCAGGGCTGGGGATGACGAAGCCTCTCGGACCTTACCTCAGGAAGATGCCGGCCCCGGAGCCGCAGGAGTAGGTGTGTGCTGTGCAAGCGCCGACATCCTCGCCCTCCAGCTCGGCCTGGCAGCAGTAGCTCTGAGAGCAGAGGAGACTCCCACACACGAGGCACAGAGTCGGGGCTCTGCTTTTGTCGCCGCCCGACTTGGGGCACCTCCGAGACAAAGACACAATAACACATCACTGCTGTGGAGGGGTGTGGCCACGGCAGCCCGGAAGAGAACTTTTCAATGTTAGCTCTCCTGTGTTAGGACACTGGAACGTGAGAGAGAGCACCGTGACAAGTGAGACCAGCTACTGCGGGACAGTGGAGAACTACGGAGCAGTGAAAAGTAGGTGTCCCGTCACTGCAGACACTCAGCTGCTTAGGGATGACGTGTGGAGTAACGACAGTCGCTGCTCCGAGACCCACGCAGTCAGCATCTTAGACACGCGGGGAAGGGGAGAGACTGCCTCCACCACAATGGCCTGGCAGCAAGTCTGGGGGGCGTTTCCTGATGGTAATTGCTGTGGGAGGGCACACAGCCCCCGTGGGCACTGCCATCTCTGGGAGGTGGGCCTGAGCTGTCTAAGAAGCAGGCTGAGCAGGCCAGTAAGCAATCTTCCTCCGTGGTCTCTGATTCAGCTCCTGCTCTGACTTCCCTCATGAAGGAGTGTAACCTGGGGGCCAGATAAACCTCTCTCCTCTCCACGTTGGTCAGTGTTTTATCAACAGGGTGAACTAGGCAGAGGCTCGGCATGGCACTCAGAACACTAAGGTCTACAGAGCAAGGAGAGGCACAGAGAGGAGACACCCAGGGCTTCAACCGTCACGGCAGTATTTTTTCTTCTTTTCTTTTATTTTTTTTTCGAGACAGGGTTTCTCTGTGTAGCTTTGTGCCTTTCCTGGAACTCACTCTGTACCCAGCCTGGCCTCGAACTCACAGAGATCCGCCTGGCTCTGCCTCCCGAGTGCTGGGATAAAAGGCCTGCACCACCACCACCTGGCGCAATGCTTTTACTTATCAAAGCATATTCCTTCTTTTTCAAAGATTTATTTATTTAATTTATGCATGATCACTCTATCTGCATCTATGCCTTTATGCCAGAAGAAAGTATCAAATCCCACTAGAGATGGCTGTGAGCCCTCATGTGGTTGCTGGGAATTGAACTCAGGACCTGGAAGCCATCTCTCCAGCATGGAAGTGTACTCTTTATGCTGCCTGTGTGCCAAGTATTTAAAAATTGATCAAGAATCACAAAAGGTTCTTGTTAAAGTGCAATCATTACCCAGAAACCCTTGGTTCTTGCCGCCACCTCTCATTCCATGCCCTACTCTGAAATGTGGTGGCAAGTGACACTTACTAATCGTGTTTGTCCCCCAAACAGAACCAAGAGCCACCACCAACACTCCCTCCCCTCCCACTGTCTGTGGGAGGACCTGGGCCGAGAGAAGAACTTACGAGAAGCTGGACGCCTGGTTAATGAGACTGCTGTAATCCTCCGGAAGGTCGATCAGTTTGTTAGATCCTCTCGGGTAGCTAAGAAATTAGAAATGTGAAGAGCTCAGTGAATTCACGGCCCTGTCATAATGATGTGAGGCAAATTCTTGGCTAAGTCAAAGTCAATCAAGAGAGGCTGAACTGAGCAATTGAGGGCCTAGCACAGTGTAGGCCAGAGAAGGTAACTAAAGATGCTCTCGCTTGCTATCCAGTCGCTAGGAAGCCATCCGCCATCAACAGGCCTGGAGGTCAGGGTACGAATCCCTCCCTTGTAAGCTCCCTATAAACTGCAGGACTCTCTCTCCTACAAAAGGAGACCTGAGTGAATTTCTGGCTGTGGTGGAGACAGGACATTCTGAACCTGAAAGGCCATGAACAGAGAACCAGCTAAACCACCTAAGATTCTGCCCCAGCTGGAGGCTTCCTAGTGAAGGACAGACCAGTGCCTCCTCTTAAAGGTAATCCAAATGGGTCTATCAATCCTCTGGGCAGGAAAGGCCCTTCCAGGGGAAGCTGTCTGTAGTAGAGACGTTAGAAAGAGTATAAAGGCTGTCTAAAATGACTCTCACCCTTGAGAGTGTTCCCTCTACCCAACACTGGTGGGATGGTTCAGTGGGTAGAGGTGCTTGGTGCCAAGCCTGTGGATCTCATTTCAACCCCTGAAATCCACACGGTGGAAGGAGAGCGTCAATGCCTGCAAGTTTTCCTTTGACTTACACACACACACACACACACTTATACACACTTACACACACACATATATACACACACACACATATACACACACACATACACACATATACACACACACACATACACACACATATACACATACACACACACACATATACACACACACACACACACACTTACACACACTTACACACACATACACACACACATACACACATATATATACACATACACACACATATACACACACACACATACACACACACACACACACACACACGCTGTGGCACGCTTGCACACACATCCATACACAAATAAAAATGTAAAGTTAAAAAAACCCAAACAAAACGAAGCACGCCTGTCTTCTACGCTGTGCTGTATGTGTCCTGTCTGTACTGGGCTGGCGGCGGGAGCCCCCCCCCTAGAGCTCCCACTCTCCCGATGACCTCGTCACTCATGCTGAGCACAACAGTCATCTGTCCCTTTCCAGCAGAAGTTTGGTGGCTGCAGGAAGGGGGCAGGTGAGGACGCTCACTCTTGGCTTCTACCCGCGTGACACAGGATGGGAGCCCACCACACAATGTGGGACTGATGTCCTGTGCTGACCAGGGGTGATCGGAAGGCACTCCAAGAATATAGCATGCGGGAGCCCACGGAGGCTTCCTAGTGAGACCTTCTCAGGGTCAGAGACTCTGGGCTCGCTTTACCCAGCAGGGCTGCATAACGGGATGATCTGGCCAGGGGTGTGGTTACCGGGTCTTTGGAAGGGTCTACACTTTGTACATCTGTGCTTGGGGAGGTCTTTTGCTTCTCCCCTTGGCATATTATAAAAAGCCCCTTTGAATAAAGCTCTGGGTGGCTGAGTATTGACCCAGGGCCCTCCCGAAGCTATCCTGTGTCTCTGTCTTTCTTATCATCTCCTCATATTTCCTCATTCCTCTCTCCTTCACCTAAGAACCCTTCAAAAGGTGGGAGCAGGTAAGAGCTGGACTCTCACAATATCCATTTTTCTTTCTATCAGCTACACTGGTTCTGACTGAACGGAACTCAGAAAAAGCTGAGATTCAAATCCAGTCAGTACCTCAGGGCCTCTTCCTCAGTGTGAGGCACCCCGACCTCTGTGGCAGCCCAGCTCAGGAACGCCCTATGGTTATCTACTCTCAGCTACTGCAAAGACAGTGTGGGTCCCCCTGGGGTACTTCAGACAGCACTTGCTAGTCACACCACCATCAGCTGCAGTTTTATGGGGAGCACACATGCCAGAACTCCCATATCAGAACACCACATCTGCCAGGAGGCTTCTATAGTTTGAAAGGTTGCCAGTTACTCTGCTGTGTGCTTCAAGTTAAGAAGCACTGTGTCAGCCCGGCGGCGGCGGGGGCGCACACCTTTAAACCCAGAACTCGGGAGGCAGAGGGAGGCGGATCTCTGTGAGTTTGAGGCCAGCCTGGTCTACAGAGTGAGTTCCAGGACAGCCAGGGCTACACAGAGAAACCCTGTCTCAACAAAACCAAAGAAAAACAAAAAAGCAGCAGCAGCCCCATGTCCCACAGGAATGCTGCAGGCTAAGGGTGGAGGGTGGTGACAGGCAACCATTTACAAATGTGAAAACGGAATCACACAAGGTTCCGATTCCTCAGAGCAGGCATTCTCATTCCAGGTGTCTGCGCAAACAAGTCATCTCATCTAGTCTTCTGATGGTCACGGTGGTGTGGACTGGAGAGGCAGCAGGCTTGAGCCACGGGGAGACACTTGTATGACCAGAGGGATATTTCACACAACAAGAGTTCAACTAAAGCACAGAGGCAGATGAAATGAACGGGAAAGAACTGCCCACAAGGGGGCTGGAGCGATGGCTCAGAGGTTAAGAGCACTGGCTGTTCTTCCAGAGGTCCTGAGTTCAATTCCCAGCACCCACATGGTGGCTCACAACCATCTATAACGGGATCTGGTGCCCTCTTCTGGCATGCAGAGATATAGAAAGATCTCTGTGAGTTCAAGGCCAGCCTGGTCTACAAAGTGAGTTCCAGGACAGCCAGAGTTGTTAAACAGAGAAACCTAGTCTTGAAAAAAAAAAAAAAAAAAAAAAAAACTGGCCACGACTGGATAGTCACTGGGTGCTATGGGAGTGAGGTGGCTTCTTCCCAGCTGACACACAGCAGGGGGAGATCTAGGTGGCCCCACACTCAAATGTAGAAGCACACACACACAGCTGGTCTGCACACTGATGGGGCTGCAAACATTCCCTCAGGAAAGAGAGGGGAGGTGACCAGAGGCTCCATCTGAGATCCAGTCACCACTCTCTGGCTCTAAGCAGCCTTTGGTCTTGGGGGTGGGGTTGTCAGTAGTCGCCTATGGTGGAGTGGAACATTTCGGTCACCCCTGATCTTTCGGTGAGTAACTCCCTACCCACGTTCTTACAAGTGACAAGTAATTGCTAAACTTATTGGCTAGAACTGTTTCTTTGGTCTGTTGATGTCTCAGGAGAGACACTCAGCTCATGGAACCTCATACCATTCCTGATGTTTGGATAAAGAAAAACAGCTAACAAAACCCAGGATGAAGAGCTACATTTCTAAAAGCAGTTCCCCCAACACAGCTACCTCTGTTTCTCTTCCCTGCCAAGGATGTGGTGAATTTGTGCTCTTGTCCCACCCCCAGCAGGAGACTGACATGTTGAGACAAGATGCTCTGTCTTGTGCAGTCCTGGATACCGAGGGCCATGCCAATGCTGAGGGAACGCGGCACTCACACCCCATGTGGCTTCTTCCACCCACCCCACACCAAATACCCAGGGGGCTCCAACTCACCTTATTGCCCCTCTTCCGCCGTTCAGATAGCTTTTAACTTCACTGCTCTGGCACCAACTTCAAGGCAAACAGAGGAGGGAGATTACTTTCGTGAGACAGGGTTTCACTCTGCAGCCTGCTGGCCTCCGACTGGTTGGTTATGGGCTCGGTCGGATTCCACAGCTGCCTGGGTTGCTGTGCTGTGTTGTTTGCTGATATGGGGCCCCCTATTAAGGCCAGGCTGGCCTCAAACTTCAGATCCCCCGCCTTGGCCTCCTGGGTGCTAGGATTACAGGCATATGCCATCATACCTGGCTTCTCAGACGTTTAAAAAAACGTGATGAAACACAGATAAAATGACCATTTTAGCCATTATTAACAGTTCCCCGGCATTAAGCACATTCGGACTGTTGTACAGGCGTCACTACCCCCATCTCCAGATCCGTCTCATCGGCCCTAACCAAAGCTATCCCCATTAACCCCGACACACACACCTCAGGTTCTGATAACCTGCAGTCATGCTCCACTGCCTTGTCTTCCTGTCTGAGATAGGGTCTCAGGATGTGAGCCCTGGCTGGCCTTGAACTCATTAGACGGTGTAGGCTGGCCTTGACTTTGCAGCAAGCCCTTGGCCTCAGCCTCCCAAGTGCTGAGATTAGAGGTGGGTGCCGCCATCTTCATACTTCAGCTCTCAAATCTATGAGTAGGACTGCTGTGGTGGTGCACATCTGCAATCCTGGCCCTCAGGAGGCCAAGGCAGGAGGGTCTGAAGTTCAAGGCCAGCCTGGACTTCATAGGGAGACCCCATATCAACAAACAAAACAACACAGCAACACAGACCACTGTGGAAACAGAGTCCATAATAACCAGTTCCACTAAGGAAATAAACATTCCTCATAGCCCTTTCTCTTCCCTCCCATGCAGACTTACCTACTGGGTTGGCAGCAATCCTACCCTGGAGCCAAATCCTCAGCTGCACTCCGCATTCTTTCTCTTAAACATTACCTACCTACCTACCTACCTACCCACCCACCTACTCATTCATTTATTTTTGAGACAGGGTCTCACTATGTAGACCAGGCTGGCCTTACACTCACAGAGACCCGCCTCTGCCTCCTGAGTGCTGGGGTTAAAGGCGTGCGCCACCACACTTGGCAAAACACCCCAACTCTTGAATTATGTGTTGAATTCTATCAGGTTCAGCAGTTTCCCACGAAAGAACTTTGAAACGTGAAAAGCTAAGGCTTAGTGCATAAGCCATTCTACACAATGCAGAAAAATGTCCAAGCATTACCTTTCAATCAGAGAGTTCATGATGTCACTGTTTTCTTGAAAAAGGCGAATGAGGTTGGTTGGCAGGGAAAGGTAGTTACATAAATGTTCAAAATGGCTTGTTCCAGAAACTGTAAATGGGGGGAAAGAGGCACACCCACAGTTACGTCCCATGCAGAAGTGAGAGAGTTACTGCTTCTATTTCTCTATTTCTCTATTTCTCTCCTCTCTCTCTCTCTCTCTCTCTCTCTCTCTCTCTCTCTCTCTCTCTCTTTGTGAGGCAGGGTTTCTCTATGTAGCCCTGGCTGTCTAGGAACTCACTATGTAGACCATGCTGGCCTCGAACTCAGAGATCCACCTGCCTTCTGCTTCCTGCACCTAGTTCATGAGTAATATGTAAAGTGAACCTTGCTAAGAGTAACATATAAACTGACACAGAACAGATATTTCTGAGACATTTAACAGAGGCTCTCACAGTCAGCAACATGCTGGGATTCAGAGGCAGAGCATGTATGCAAAGATGCATATCAGCATTCACAGGCCAATTACATGTGCTCTCATTAATCAGATGTACTTGTTTATTGTTTTGTTTTCTTAGCATGCTGGGGCTGAACCCAGGCTGAGCATGCCAGGGCAAGCATCACCACTGAGATCCGTCCCCAGCCATTTTATGTTTTCTAACTTATCTTTAGTCTACTTATTTTCATTATTAATTTTTTAATTTTAATTTTTATTTATTTATTTAATTTTTTTTTTTTTTTTTTGGTTTTTCGAGACAGGGTTTCTCTGTGTAGCTTTGTGCCTTTCCTGGAACTCACTTGGTAGCCCAGGCTGGCCTTGAACTCACAGAGATCCGCCTGGCTCTGCCTCCCGAGTGCTGGGATTAAAGGCGTGCGCCACCACCGCCTGGCTTAATTTTTATTTTTGAGACAGGGTCTCTCTATGTAGCACTGGCTGTCTTGAAATGCACTATGTAGATTACACTGGCCTTGAACTCACAGAGCTGCCTGCCTCTGCCACCCAGTGCTGAGCTCAGTGTGCGCCACCATGCCAGATCCATCTTGACTCTAATGGGTGGAGCAGATGACATGGAACACTTGCTACATTTGAAAGAAATGGAAAGTTACCTTGAAGGTCTGGTGGGGCTGGAACTCCATTTAAGTAATGGAAGAACAAAGCAGAACACTTGAGGAAAGGCATGATGCCCGCCCGGACGCTCCTCCACAGGTGCCAGCCGGAGGGCTCTTCCTCCAAGGCACTGAGAGAGAAAACAACGAAGACAAGATCACTTCAGGAAAATATGGTGTGAAAACAAGACTGACATTTGGAACGGATGCCCTTACGGTTAGGAGTGGGTCAAAGTAATACAGGCAGACATACAGAAAAATTAGAAAATGAAAACCCAAACCAGGTGTGGTGGTGCACACCTTTGATCCCTGCACATGGGAGGCAGAGCTGGGTGGATCTCTGTGAGTTCAAGGACAGCCTGGTCTACAAAGCAGATGCCAGGACAGCCAGAGCTGTTACACAGAGAAATCCTACCTCGAAAAACCATACACACACAGAAACCAA